TTTTATTCATTTTGTTACAGTACATATATGTACATACACACAATACATATATGTACACACATGTGTGTGTAAGTGTCTGTTGCTCTGTGGGTCTGCAATATAAATAACTCTGGTGGAGTTGTGTGCATATTTTGTGACTACAACTTAAAATAAATACAAAATGCTAGTTAGTTCTGGTCGTTGTTTTTGGCAGCCATCATTTGACCAACAATAGTGCTTGCATACATGGAAAATATTTGCACAGTTTGCATTTGCATTTTGCTGTGCATTTTGTTGTGCATTTTGTTGTGCATTTTGTTGTGCATTTTGTATTTATTCTTTACGAAACAAATCGAGCTCAAATGCCACTTGCCCCATGCGGATTCTTCGATCCGCCCACTCCATGGGTTCCACTCACCACCTCACCACTCCGGGCTTTCTCCTTTTCAATAATCAAGGCACGTACTTCGTGTGTGCGTGTTTGTAGCAAGTGCAAAAAGTTGCACTTTCCATCGGGGACACCCATTACGAGCCTATTGGCTGCAGTGTCCGAGTGCATTGAAATTGGGCTTGCACGGCGGCTGAAAAAAGTATGCGCAAAATCTCTGCATACTTTCAGGAATTCAATCGACTCAGGGTTTGGGGAGGGGGTGGCCGAAGTCATTGCCTACTCTGAGGCATTGCTGCACTTAAAGCCAAGCACGTGGGGCTTCATCAGTGCTTAAAACATAGCCACTAAAAATTAATTATATGTTTCATACTTTTTGGTTTCTCTCTTTCCCTGTGCCATTCCACGATATGCTGGGGAGCAGATAACTTAATTGCCACATAGATGATTCATAAACATAAGCTCACAGTTTTTCCAATAGCTCGGACATCGAATAAATATTACTCTGCATTTTAAAAAAATAAATATTAAGAATAGTGCTAAATATGGCAAAGGTTTTCCGTTTATTTTGCAATGCTCAAATAAAGTACAGTGGAATCTCACAAAAAGGATAAATAATATTAAAAAAAAATTAAAAATTGAAAATTACCAAAATATTCCAAATTAAATAATTAGTTAATTTTTCTACGATTTCCGAATTAAACTTTTCAGATATTAGCATAAGCCGCAGAACAAATTGTTTCTAATTTTTGGAGGTTCCACTGGAGTGACTTTGTGCCAATAAGTATGTTTGGGCCGAGACTGTGGATCCCATAAGCATGCTGTGAAAACGTCAACTGAATATTGATATCAGCTTTTTGTTATCTACTCGTTGTTAGCAACTATCATAAGCAAAATTTTAAATACTCGAACTGTGTTACAATGGATGATGCATACGTTAATTACATTCGCTTTTGCGTATCCAAACGCGAGGATTATGGACAGACGAGAAACGAATTGGTAAAGCAATCCATAATTATATGGAGCTATATGACGAGGGCGCAGAAACTTAAGTATGCAAACAATGCTCACTAAGGTACGAGTACGTGTATGTATCCAAATTAAACTGCTTTCGCACTGATTCATTATCGTTAAATAGAACAGAACGAATCCAACATCCTGCACCGGCAACTGGCTACGAGCAACTGGAACATCCTCCGACATCATCCAGCTTGATTCAACATCCATCCATCCAATCGAGATGCTTTTATGAATCGGTTGTGGATTGTAGAAACCAGACGCCTTCCCTCCTCTTAGCGATTTTGACTTTTAATTTGCCTTTGATCATGTATTTCGCGATTACCGAAGCTGAATTTATATTTATAATTAAAATTGGCAATTAACGTTAAAATTTTTGTATTTTGAGAAAATACACTGCACTGTTGAAATCGAGGCGTCCCGTCTTTTTTTTTTAGAAATTCAGCGCGAGGCAGTCCCAGCCACAAGTCGTACTTTATTCTAACATTCTGGCAGGTTAGAATATCTCATTTCCCAAGGGATCTCCCGGTCTCTTAATTTCTGCATCTGAACTTGAGTATTTTTCATTTTATATTCCTTTTTTTCGTCACTTGCATGCCAATCCAAGTACAAGTTTTGCCATTTATTCTATTCACAAGCATTTTCTATTTTGATCTCTTGCCTATCCGGCTAAGACTGGCCATCGATGGCCAAAAGCAACTTGAACACATTTTTAGCTGCGGAGCGCTGTAGCTTGCCCCAGAGAAAAAACTATGTGTGCATTGATATTACTTAAAAGAAACTATTAAGAATAAAGAGAATGTGTTGCATTCACGTTCGACAATTAAAAAAATGATCTGGAAAAATCTATTAATACATTTTATGTATGTATGAATCTGTCTCTATTACCATCTATCTATGTTGACTGTTTCGCTGCTCGAATTTAAAGTTTATGGGTCCTTCAAACTACTGCCCAAATCGAACTACATTCCACATATCTGTGGAATCGGAAACGCTTCCTTCTACCTGTTACATACGGGGTAAACTCAAAATATTTCTAGGTTTACTTACCTTACTTACCCAAGCAGGAGCAGCGAGAACCTGCAACTAAATAGGTTTCAGCCCTCCAACCCAAATCAGTTTATTGCAATTTCTTTCCATATATATTTATCTTTATTTTGAATTTATTTTTCAGTTTTTTTTTGTGTTGTTTTTTGTTTTGTTTGGGTTTTCCTGGTAGCTTGCACAGCTGAAATATTCTGGTGTATATCGGATTTTACAGTACAAACATTCGTTTTTGCTCATTTCTTATGTACATAAACACAAATCAAACTAAACTTTATTAATGTTACTTAAATGTGTTGAAACATGAATTTTTCGCATTATGCGGCACACATACATATGTACATAAATACATAAATATGTACATATGTGTATGTGTTTTTGTCTGTTTTCTTTTTTTTTTTTTTAATTTCCGATTATCGTTTGTCTTTGATTTGTTCTTTGACGTGTTGAATTTTTGTTGGATATTCCCATTGGTTGTGTATTATGCAATACGTAATTGTTGAATATTTGTATATTTAGTTTATGGTTTATCTTTGTATGGTTGTAGCGTAGTAGACATTGAATGCTTTACGATTTGAATGGTTTCTCTTGCTTCTGGCTGCTGGCTGCTGGCTTACGAATATTTCACGTTCACTTAGATATTATTATAGTTTTTCTTTTTCTTTTTTAGTTTCATATCCCTTCGTCTCGACTCGATTAGTTTCCTCTTTTTTTAGTTTCTTGGGGATCTGTTTTCCATCCCCCATATCTCTCTCTCTCATTCTTTTCTTTTCTTTCTTTTCTTTTTTTTTCTTTTTTTGTCCCGCTCCTGCCTGCCTGCATGGGTTCTCTGCGTACGAGTACGAGTATATATGGATATTTATTTGTTTCTTACACTTGTAGATTAAATGTATCTTTGATTTGCTAGGCGATATCGTTACTCTTTTTATCCACCAAAAAAAAAATATTCCCTATTAATAATTAACTTTAGTTTATTATATTTAAAATGTATCTCCTCATTTATATGTATGTATGTTTCTGCTCCTCTTGTTCTTCTTTCTTGTTTTCTTCCCCGCCTTTTCCCTGTGCCGTGCCTGCTTATACGAGTGCATATGTATCCTGGTACGTACGTATATGAGAGTCAGAGTACATCTGAGTAGTCAGCTTTGAAAGACTTGACTATCATGATCATGAGCTGGAATTGAGGGGTGGGTCGGGTCTGGGTTCTAGGTTCTAGGTTCTGGACTGGGGATATGTGGATTCTACATATGTACATATGTTCGTACGTACGTATGTATGGTGTCACTGGCATTACTGTAGGTATATTTTGGATATGAGCACACAAATTGTATTTTATTTACCTCTGTCTTTCCCTTACTTCTTGAGTTCTCCTTTCTGAGTTGCTTTTAATGCTTTTGGCACATTTAATTCTGTTTTTATTCTGTTTTTTCCTCCTCGTGTTCAACTTCTGTTGATTTACATATCATTTAAGCATGGAATTGACGCACACACATGTAGATATTGGATATTAATATTCACGTAGGGACTATGGGTGGTTCCTGTATCTTTATCTGTATCTTTACCTGCCTGTGTCTGTGGTCTGTGGCTGGGGATGCTCTAGTGGGAGTAGCTGGAGACCAAGTACCAAAAATATTATTATTTTCTTTGCAGTGAGCTGAACTAATACTTACAGGAATGGAGAATTCAGTGAACTGATTACTAATCAAGTGATAGAAATGGCAGCAGCTGCCCAAACGCCTGTACAGGCGTTCTTGTTCGCTCTTCTCTATTAAACTGAAGCAATTTTGGCCTTCGGGACACTCAGCTAGTTCATGGGATAGGGATATTGGATGGGGATGCACTTCAAGTGACATATTTAATTTAATTTGGCTCTCCCAAACATGAGTTGCCGCTATTCCAGCCACGCACAAGGGCTCCCAGTGAATGGTGTGGGGAAAGTGCTTCCGCAGTTGGCTTACATCTACTATGGAGAGACCCACGGATGTCCGCAGTTAGTCTTTTGAGCTATGCAAAGGAGACAAAAACAAAACGCGTCCAAAAATAGAACCATGACATCAACGGAAACGTTCTTCACATCACTACGAGTCTGAGTGTAGATATTTACAATTTATGGGTGTGCATTGTTCGTCTGAACATCTGCGATTAACGTTAAGTCTAGTCCATGACTATGACTGGGTTTCTTTCAGCTTCAGCTTCCTCCTCCTCCTCCTCCCCCCCTCCCCCTTTGAGCAGGCCACACTTATATACAGAACTCTGGATTAAACATAACTTATCTGCATACACAATACTATATGTATGTATATATATATATATATTTCTTCTAGAAAAAAAACACACGCAAAAACCAAACAACAAACTGAACTGAAGAGTTTCGCTTATAGGTTAGACAACTAGATCATTATCATTATCATTATCGATATCGATATCGATATATGTATGTATGTAAGTATGGGGTACACATGTAGATCGTTTTGTTAGTCGTACTTCAATGTGCACACTCCAGAGCAGCCATTGAAAAGCCATTCAAGAACCGAACACCGATAGATCTGGATATTGTTATATGTATGTAGTATATGTAGTTGATTTTTCTCTTTTTCTCTTTTTCTATTTTTCGTTTTTGTTCTCTTTCTTTTTTTTCATTTTCCACTAACGAGGTAACATTTAAACGCATTTTCTTTTCCACTTAACTACGAAACTTTAGTTTTTCCACTTGCTTTTGATTTAATATTCATTCAATTTGGCCTGCTCCTTTTCTTTTTCTCTCCCTCTGTCTCTGTCTGTCTCCCCCTCCCTCCCTTTGTAATTAGCAAGATGATTAGGTCGATGATTTATGCTCCGACTTTCCAGTCTCGTGTGGAAACCACGAGCGAACAGAGAGGGTGGCAACAACAGAGAGAGAGAGAGAGAGAGAAAGAGAGTTGGAGCGGAGGTGAACTAGCTCCTTCCCTGGGCCCCCATAATCGCGTTTTGTATAATTACAATTGAATTAAGCTATAATAATCTTACTTTGTTGCCGGTGTTCGGTTTAATCCTTCCACGCTCCAGCCGATGCCATTTGGCCCGGCCCCGGCTCCGGCTCTGGTCGTCGTCGCTGATCTCTCGCAGAACTCGTGCTCCGCGTCCCCAGCCCCATTCAGCTCAAGTCTCAAATTCGTTTCCTTTGTGTCCTTTTGTCTGGCGCCCTTTGTGTAAAAAAACATTGTTGCCGCCGCCGTTGTGGTTGTTGGTGCCACCGCCTCTGCTGTCCCTGTCGCTGTCGTGGCTAATAATACCAATAGGGCTAATATAAATGTCTTGATTAGCTGTATTGTACGCTGCGAGGCTGCTGGGACGCGGGTCGAGTCTGCTGAGCTGCCCAGCTCCGGCTCCTGGGTGCGGTCCTTGTACAGACGCCCGTTCTGGTTGCGTGAGCCCTCCTCGTGCCTGTTCTCCTTGTGCCGGTTCTCCACCTCGTGCCGCTGCATCCAAACAGAGAGAGAGAGAGAGGTTGTATTTGGTGCTTGGCCAGGACTTCCGAACAGAAGTACTCGTTGTTGTGGTGTGGAAGTGACATAACCAGCACTTCGATCCCAATCTAAAACTGAATCCTTACCGTTACTTCGTTGATATCGTCATCGCGCATCTGCTTCCTGCCGGGACGTTCCATTTCTGTGGAAGTGAAATCATCGATCATTGATGAAGAACGGACGATTATGCCAGGTACTCAAAGGGCAGAGAAATATATGTTTAATTTATGTTTGAGGATAAAGGAAGAGCAAAACATTCCACTCTTGCCCCAATCAAGCGAAATTGAGAGAGCTCCGCGCTCTGCATTGCCCGCCTGCCCCAATTGTGGAAAATTTGTGCCGAGTGATACATTTGTTGTACGATATTTAAGCTCTCTTTTTGATGGGTGAATGAAATGTTTGAGCTTTCGATTTCCAGTACAAATACATATGTATGTGTATACCCTTTGGGTGTTTTAATAGGTCACTCACCGTATAGTCGAATGGTGCCTTCGGTGTCCCCGATGCTGTTCTTGGAGATGCACTTGTAGCCTCCGAAATCGCTCGACTGCAGCCGCTTAATGTGCAGCACCATCTCCATGGAGTACATGTTGTGCTCCTTCTCGGTGAGGGCATAACGATCGCCGGCAATAATCATTTCGCCTGCGGCAGAGCATAGAGCAGACGATGAAAACGAGATGAGATGTGATGTGATGGGATGTGATGGGATGTGATGAGGTGTCACCAGGTGTGAATGGAGTCATGAATACGAAGCAGGGCCAAATGGAGGAGACAAAACCAAATGAGTTTAAGTTACGGTAAAAGAGAGCACAGAGCAGAGAGAGGAGAGAGGAGAGTGGAGAGAGGAGAGTGGGCATGAAGCATGAAACACGGAGAATGCTCTTGATGAGAAGTCGAGCCATTGATGATGACATTTCTGCCATGGCTGCTGAACGTTTCACGTTTACGCTGTGGCTCCTGTCACGTTTGCAATATACGTCAAATGCACTTGACAAAAGAGCCATCCAGGAAAACTCCTCTCCACTCCTCGCCACTCCACTCCACAACTTTCTCTCTCCCCTATCCACTCTCCACTCTCCTTACTCCTCTCTCTCCATGCCACTCTTCTTAACAACAAAATATTTCAGCGTCAAACACGAACCAAATAAAGACAAATTGCGGCATTGAAAGGTTTATAAAGTTTCAACGACTTTACCAAACTTGGAAATGCTAAATGAAAAATTCAATTCGTGGCCAATGCATTGGTGGCAGGGCAACCTTTGGCTGCCACTGCCACTGCCATTGCCACTGCCACTGCCAATGCCACTACTCTCAGGCTTACCATTCTCGCGCTGCCAGTAATTGATGGCCTTTGGCGATGCCTCGACATTGCAAATTAATGTGACATCCGTTAGGACCGGGGCGCCGACCAATTGATTTGGCACTTGAACCAGCGGATGAACTGCGAAAGAGAACCAGAAAAAGCAAAAGGAGAAAGAGAAAGAGGTAGAATGGGAGTTAGTAAGTTGGTTATGCCAATCCCAATTGTTAGCCCATCAGCTGCTGTGACCTTGTCCCACGCCCACGCCCCCAACCGGGCTAGACTGGCAATTAAGCCCCAATGGACCCAAGTTCGGTCCTGGTCCGGGTTCTCCTCCCAATCCCACTCCCACCCTCACTCTTCAACCCTTTTACGAGACGAATCAAGCTGCTCGTTTCGTCTGCGTCTCCCTCTCGTTGTTGGTTAATGCCAGCAACAGCTCCGAACACCAAAAACAACAACTGATACGATTTTAATTGAAAATGAATTATTTTGTTGTTAGAGAGCCAACAATCCTGGCCAACAATCAGAGTCGGGCTAACCGTCGGTCCATCGTTCTCGCCCAGTGGTCATGGCCAGTGGAAAGGCAAAGCATCTGGAATTTTTCTCCTTTTCTGATCCCATTTTTGCTGTTTTTCCATCCTCTTGATACACTCACTTGGCTATGGCTTTTGTCGATGGGAATTGGCTGCTTCAACCATTGGCACGATGATCCCTCAGGGGCTTAACGAATCTTTCATTCAAAACGATTCACTGGATAATGCGGCAATTGTGGATTCCTAGCTGTTCTTTATTCGTTCATCTTTCATTTATTTACATATATGTATGTATCCGTGAGGTAGATTAATGCCGTGTACTTTCAATTGCAAAGAATTTTCCTAGTTCTCCTTTCCCTTCTGTGTTCACTTTATTTTACGTGGAATATCCCGGTTAGGGCATTCAGAGTTCACCGTAGTCATTGTATTCTTTTCGGCTTTTGCCCTTTGTGACTTTAACCATGTTTTTCGTGTCGTGTTGAGATTTTTTACGTACATTTTTTCTTTATTTGCCGTCATTTGTTTCCTCTTTTTTGTCGCTCCTTTTATCTCCATCTAGCCGCTGTCTTTGAGGCTGTCTTGGTTGGCTAGAGCGAACAGCACGGCAGAGCCAAGGGCCATAGGACCCCGTACCAAAGCCAGCTCGGGGCCAGCCACTCGCCGTCATTGTTTTTTGGTTTTTCAACTTTGGTCTTCTCGTCCGCAGGCAGTGGCAGGGGCAGGGGCAGGGGCTGACCCTGCTCCCTCGCCGTGGCAGCTGGTGGCCATCCGCTGCCGTTGGCTGTGTTCGAGCGTTCATTATTGGTCAATTTATTGGATTTGTGCATGCTCCACTCTACATTCCCCCATGTCAGTCCGTGTCAGTACTTCTGTCCGTGTGTGGCCGAAGGAAGGCTTCTCCCTGCTACTTCGCTGGGAATAGTGCAGCATATGTCGTGTGTTGTTTCTGTGGTGTGCTGTGCCCTCCCAGCCACCACGCCCCGCGGTAGCCTACCACTTATTGAAAATTCAATTTTCCCTAATAGAGTTTTGTAGCAGGCAGCTGGTACGTAGCTGGTTCCAGCTACTCAAAGACTCAAAGATGCAACGGCCGAAATGGTAAATATTCTTCAAGGACCTCTGACCGAGCAGTTATACGAGAGAGGGGAGAGGAGAGACTTAGAGACACAATCATTTTCCTGCTGGATTTTCCATTTATTCGCATTTCTTAATGGCTAAATTCCACTTCGAATCCTTCGAGTCTAGCCCGAGAATTCGGTGGAGCTGCTCTCAGTGGTGCTGTCGCTGCTAGCGGGGGTGCTGCTCTCAGTGGTGCTGTCGCTTTCAGCTGTGGTGCTGCTCTCAGTGGTGCTGTCGCTGCTTGCAGGGGTGCTGCTCTCAGTGGTGCTGTCGCTTTCAGCTGTGGTGCTGCTCTCAGTGGTGCTGTCGCTTTCAGCTGTGGTGCTGCTCTCAGTGGTGCTGTCGCTGCTAGCGGGGGTGCTGCTCTCAGTGGTGCTGTCGCTGCTAGCGGGGGTGCTGCTCTCAGTGGTGCTGTCGCTTTCAGCTGTGGTGCTGCTCTCAGTGGTGCTGTCGCTTTCAGCTGTGGTGCTGCTCTCAGTGGTGCTGTCGCTTTCAGCTGTGGTGTTGCTCTCAGTGGTGCTGTCGCTTTCAGCTGTGGTGCTGCTCTCAGTGGTGCTGTCGCTTTCAGCTGTGGTGCTGCTCTCAGTGGTGCTGTCGCTTTCAGCTGTGGTGCTGCTCTCAGTGGTGCTGTCGCTTTCAGCTGTGGTGTTGCTCTCAGTGGTGCTGTCGCTTTCAGCTGTGGTGCTGCTCTCAGTGGTGCTGTCGCTTTCAGCTGTGGTGCTGCTCTCAGTGGTGCTGTCGCTGCTAGCGGGGGTGCTGCTCTCAGTGGTGCTGTCGCTGCTAGCGGGGGTGCTGCTCTCAGTGGTGCTGTCGCTTTCAGCTGTGGTGCTGCTCTCAGTGGTGCTGTCGCTTTCAGCTGTGGTGCTGCTCTCAGTGGTGCTGTCGCTTTCAGCTGTGGTGCTGCTCTCAGTGGTGCTGTCGCTTTCAGCTGTGGTGTTGCTCTCAGTGGTGCTGTCACTTTCAGCTGTGGTGCTGCTCTCAGTGGTGCTGTCGCTTTCAGCTGTGGTGCTGCTCTCAGTGGTGCTGTCGCTGCTAGCGGGGGTGCTGCTCTCAGTGGTGCTGTCGCTGCTAGCGGGGGTGCTGCTCTCAGTGGTGCTGTCGCTTTCAGCTGTGGTGCTGCTCTCAGTGGTGCTGTCGCTTTCAGCTGTGGTGCTGCTCTCAGTGGTGCTGTCGCTTTAGCTGTGGTGCTGCTCTCAGTGGTGCTGTCATTTCAGCTGTGGTGTTGCTCTCAGTGGTGTATCGCTTTGAGCTGTGGTGCTGCTCTCAGTGGTGCTGTCGCTGCTTAGGGTGCTTCTAGTGGTGTGTGCTTTAGCTGTGGTGTTGCTCTCAGTGGTGCTGTCGCTTTCAGCTGTGGTGCTGCTCTAGTGGTTGTCGCTGCTTGAGGGTGCTGCTCTAGTGGTGCTGCTTTCAGCTGTGGTGCTGTCGCTGCTTGCAGGGGTGCTGCTCTCAGTGGTGCTCTTTAGCTGTGGTGCTGCTCTCAGTGGTGCTGTCGGGGTGCTGCTCTCAGTGGTGTTGTCGCTTTCAGCTGTGGTGCTGCTCTCAGTGGTGCTGTCGCTTTCAGCTTTGGTGCTGCTCTCAGTGGTGCTGTCGCTGCTAGCGGGGGTGCTGCTCTCAGTGGTGCTGTCACTTTAGCTGTGGTGCTGCTCTCAGTGGTGCTGTCGCTGCTTGGGGGTGCTGCTCTCAGTGGTGCTGTCGCTTTCAGCTGTGGTGCTGCTCTAGTGGTGTGTCGCTTTAGCTGTGGTGCTGCTCTCAGTGGTGCTGTCGCTGCTAGCGGGGGTGCTGCTCTCAGTGGTGCTGTCGCTTTCAGCTGTGGTGCTGCTCTCAGTGGTGCTGTCGCTGCTAGCGGGGGTGCTGCTCTCAGTGGTGCTGTCGCTGCTAGCGGGGGTGCTGTTGCTGCTGGAGCTGCTCTCTGTGGTAGAAGTGATCCGGGGGAAGGGCCAGAATGGTGGACGACGACCTGGGGGACGACGACCTGGGGGACGACGTGGCGGAGAACCTCCTGGTCTACCGAAACCACCTGGTCCACCGAATCCACCTGGTCCACCGAAACCACCTGGTCCACCGAATCCACCTGGTCCACCGAATCCACCTGGTCCACCGAAACCACCTGGTCCACTATAGCGGCCAGGGCCTCCATAGTCACCGCGGCCCCAACGACCACCTGGACCGCTTTGACCACCAGGACCGCTCAGAGCGCGACTCCTAGCGCCACCGCCGCCGCCGCCGCCACCGCCTCCGCCGCCACCGCCACCGCCACCACTGCCGCCGTCGCCGCCACCGCCACCGCGTCCTCCACGACCACCACCACCACCGCCACCACCACCACCACCAGGACCTCCCTGGGCGATGGCCACAGCTATAAGGGCCAGGAGAACAATTCCAATGTAGATACGCATGCTTAGTCTTAGATGGCAATCCAGATAAGCGACTGACTCTACCGTCCACCGGATCACCTTTTATAGCCAAGTTTAAAGCCTTCTCTCGGCCGCTGCGTCATGCTGACGTCAAAATAGTGGCATATTTGTTGTGTGTATAGCTGGAACATGGCCGAAACCACCGAGAAAGAGCCAGCCAGCTAGACAGTCTCGCCATCGGCTGGCAATGGAATCCCTAAAATCGAACTATAGCTGCATTATTTTTGTTGTTGTTGTTGTTCCATTCTCTAATCAACGGAGTGGGTTTTCCAGACGCGGCTGAACAGCTGTCGACTGTTTGACTTGGCCGTTGTTTTCTGTTTGGACACTTCTAGCCGATGCGGGACGGGTGCGAGTGGGCGCCGCCTGCGTGAGTTGCAAGATAGGTGGGCATGGGCATGGGCCTGGGACTGGGCCTAGGACTGGGACTGGGCCTGCGATGGAAAGTGGTTTCCAAACAAAACAAAACATTCATTTTCATATCTTAAACATGAGGAATTTTTAGCATTTGGGGCAAATTTATATTCAGTCGGAAGCCAAAACTGTGGAGTTTATAAAGTACAAAATCTATTAACTGATCGGAAAGTGTACGAACGAGTATGTACCTTTTGTATTGTAAAACGAGAAGGAACGTGTGAGTCGCTTCTGGGGACGCGACTCTACTTATACCGGTACTCAGTATATACATTTTTGAGCTTATGATATTTTAGAATTTTATTTTTATACCCGTACTCAAAAAAGAGTTAAGGGGTATATTAGATTTGTGGTAAAAGTGGATGTGTGTAACGCAGAGAAGGAAACGTTTCCGACCCCATAAAGTATATATATTCTTGATCAGCATCAATAGCCGAGTCGATATAGACATGTCTTTCTGTCCGTCTGTCTGTCTGTCCGTCTTGTTGAGCGCCTAGATCTCAGAGACTATAAGAGCTAGGGCAACCAAATTTGGTTTCCAGACTCATGTGATATCACACTGCTACAAGTGTATTTCAAAATTTCGCCCCGTCCACTTCCGCCTACACAAATGACGAAAATCTGTGGCAGGCACATTTTTTAAAGATACGATAAAACTAAAAACGCAGTATCGTAGAAAATGCCCATATCTACCAGATTGCCTAATCTGAATCAGATCGGATCATAATCATAGCCAGAATGAAGAAATTAATTTTCTGTTGGTTCCCTCTCCTTCTCCAGCGCTGCTGACGCTTCTGATTCTCTTTCTCGCTCGCACACTCTGCCGCGTTCAGTGCGCGAGCAACCCCTAACGGAGGAGTTGTAGAATATAAATGGTACATGTACAATCTACATGTTAGATGTGGAATATACATTGTAGATGTAAATAACAGATGTAGCAAAAAAATGTAAAATGTAAAATTTTTTTTTTTCTAAAATTCAAAAAAATCATATGTCAAAAATGTATTTACTGACTAGTACGGGTATAAGTAGAGTCGCGTCCCTAGAAGCGACTCACACGTTCCTTCTCGTTTTTTTTTTAGTTACTGTTAAAAAATTAACGATTGGTGAAAATCAAGAAGTTCAGCTGAGGTTGATATATATATGTATATAGTATATAGATATATATTTAGTTAGGTTAGGTTAGGTTAGGTTGAAGCGGCTGTGGACTGTAGACCCGACACACCTAGCCGGCTCAGCCCGTTGTGATACCGTATTACGTTCCCTCTCCCTCGTGAGACCCTATGTTATCCATTATCCCATCCGGATGCCCTTATGAAGCCTGCGATCCGTCTGGGACTGATTGTAGACATGTCCGAAATGTCAGTTAAAGGACCCCAAGGAAAAAGAGCACCAGAGTTGCAGTCTCCTTCTACTGAGAGCCGGACAGGAGCAGAACAGGTGTTCCACAGTCTCCTCCTCGTCCTCATCTCTACAGCTTCGACAGAAGTCGTTATATGGGGCGCCCAGCCTGCTTGCATGTGTGCCTATTAGCCAGTGTCCCGTGAGAGCGTATGACTGAGCTGCACCTACTCCTACTGAGTTTGAAAGCTCATCGTGCGCTTCTTATTGATATTAGGCCATGTTTGCCGAGTATGCAACATAGTGACACGGTTTGCCATCTGTCATTTATTAATCGCTTAAAGTGTTCTTTTATTTAATTTTAGGTGGCCATTGGCATACCAAACCTCCTTATCATGGAGAGGGGATTGTTGTGCCAGCTCTGGCCAGCTCATCCGCTATGCAGTTGCCTTCAATGTCCTGATGACCGGACCCATATTAGGCTGATGACGAACTGATAAGCCACCATGAAGAGATTTGCGACAGTTTGCCACGGGCCGAGCTTGATGTTATCGCATTCAGCGATTTGATCGCAGCTTGGCTATCACTATAGATGTTTATATGAGTTGCCAGGGGCTATTTCCTGAAGACAGCTCAAAGCCTCCTTGATCGCTATGACTTCTCTTGGAAGACACTGCAGTGATCCGGGAGCCTGAAGGACTGTCTTATGTTAGCTGTTCGGAGTAGATCCCCTCACCTTGTTGTCAGCTTTGAGCCATCAGTAAAGATTCGAATGGCTCCTTTTACAGGTGGTCCCTCAAGCCAGATGTTTCTGTGAGGGATGATTGTCTCGAAGGGGGTATCTGTATACTCCCTCGGAACGCAGTAGTCCGTTTTTGTAGGGACGATTTTGTTTCCATTAGGATGGACGCATGACCGGTGTGATGTGACACCCATTGGTAGAGTCTCTAAGACGGATTGCTCCATTTCTGCCTGCTCCTTACCTGCAAGGTCAAGCTCTGCAAGCAACGCATCCGTTGGTGTTGTACTGAGAGCTCCACTGATGAGGGGCCGCAGTGCGCTGCACCTTGCCCAGTTGTTTAGTGATGGTCCCCTTCGATAGGGCTGGCCACCACACTGCGACTCCGTAGAATGTAAAATTTTTGCCAGGTAAATACATTGGACTATTCTTGGGTTCATGCCCATCTTAGCCCAATGGCTTTCTTGCAAGTGTAGAGTGCTATCGTAGCCTTCTTCACTCTGTCTTTGATGCTCAGGTTCCAGCTAAGTTTTTTGTCAATTACCAACCCTAAGTAACTGGCACTGTCGCTGAATGAGAGCCTACATCCGTTTATAAGGGTTGAGGGACGGGATTTTGTATTTGGTTGTAAACAATACAAGTTCCGTTTTAGAGGGATTGATTCCCAGTCCACGCGACTTTGTCCATTCTGAGAGTCGCGCGAGCTTTGCGGACATTAGATCGCAGAGTGTTTGAGGAAAATTGGCAACGAAGTCCCCGTACCACCTTGCAGCCCCCCCCTTCCAGGTCACACAGTATCTTATTGACTGCTATGTTCCATAGAAGGAAACAGGACACCACCTTGCGGGGTGCCTCTGTTGCATACCTGACTGAGTGGACGACCCATTGATGATGTCACTGTCCTGCATGTGAGCAATTGATCTATGAGCATCATCAAGTGACGATCCACTCCCAGGTCAGTCAGGGCCTCTGTGATGGCTATTTAGTTAACTAGTTCGCAAAAACTTGTGCAGGTTTTTTACTGCCAATAACTGATTAATGACGATATGAATGGTATCAATATATATGCAATAGATTTCACCAATTATCCAACTCATTTAGCAAAAAAGTTTTTTGGTTCTGGCCCTGATTGTCCTGCTGGTGGCAGTTCTCGTCTGGCTAAAAGTCGAAATAAACTAGATTGTTGTTGGTTTATATTTAATTCGAATGGGCATTTGTGTTGTGTGTTGTGTGTTTTACTGTTTTAACACACACATAATAAAAAATTTCCTTTTCTTTTCAACATTAAAAAATGTTTGGAGATAGCAGTCCATCAGAAAAAGGCTTTGGGCTTTGGGCACAAAGTAGACGTACCCACAGATAGGCAATGGCAGCACCTGAGCCCGAACTCGTCTTTTCTTCAGGCAGTTAAGGACTCCTCCTTCAAGAGCCCTCACCTACTTGGCAGTGGGCCAAGTCTTTAAGTTCCCACACCTTTTTAGCGGTGATGCACGTCCCGCCCCTGCACGGCAAAGCCCAGGGATCCACTTAATTTTCTGATTAGAATCAATCAAGCAGTGCAAGCAGTCGCCGAGGGTTGCGAAGTCACACAATGACAAAAAATCAAAGGCAAAGCTCTCACGCAGCCACTTAGTCAATGAGCAGGCGATGGACAGAGAGAGAGAGAGAGAGAGAGAGGAAGAGGAGCCACAGTCGACTCTCTTTCAACACTTACGTACGCATGTACGTATGTGCATGTGCACATGTTGTATGTACATGTGGATTTTTAAATTGAAATTGAGCCGGAGGATGCTTCGACTTCTGTGCCAATGTCAGCGGGAGCTGAGAGCGACCAAAGGAGAAAGCCAAAGCAATAACGGAACAAAGGAACAAGTGGAAAGCATCTTTATCGATGGTGAAAGAGGACAGAAAGGGAGAGAAAGTCAACGAAGGTCCCGCCAACTGATGGAAATGAAATGACAAAAGAAATGAAATGAAAGAAGCAAAAAAAAAAAACTTGCAAAACGAATTTGTGGCATAGATAAAATAAAAATGAAAATTAATTTTTGCGGCACACAGTACGAAAGGGGGAGACAGCGTGTGTGTGTGTGTGTGTGTGTTTGTGTGCGTGTGTGTGGGTGGGTGGCAAGATGTTCCAACTCTCGAAAAGTAGCGAAACATTTTCACGCCCGTGTCAATATAATTTCCAGATAAGATCTTGTCTTCCGCCAAGTTGCTGCTTCATACTCTCCCACCCCCCGCCCACTACCCACCATGTCTTACCGACCTATGTACACATACGTATGTATGTCTCCTTATGTATGTAGTATGAGGGCCTATTTATGTTTTACCTTAACCTCCTCTCTTTCTTCTGCTTGCCAAAACCTCCTCGGACTGGTGTGCGACTGCTTGCAAGACGAGCGTTTTACCTGCTTCTACTGCTTGCCAAAATGTCGTCGTTCGAACTTTTGCCCCTTTTGAAAATTTCATTAACTTTGATGCAGGACAGGGACAGGGACAGAGACAGAAAGCGAGCATATAAGAGGGTTGTGGTGCACGGGAAAAAGTGCGGGAACTGCCCTTAACAATTACACCACACACACACACAAACCCATCCATACATGTACATATGTATGTACGAGTATGTACATACACAGAAGCACATGGTGAATGCTCCTTAAAGTTTTACAACATGAACGTGACGTTGCTGGCTGCTATCCACCCTGCCACCGGGCTGCTGTCCTAATGCATTTGGAAAGTTTACCGGCCACGTGAAGGAAGCTGCCGGATATCGGAACGGAAACACTTGCAGTTGGCGCTCATAGCGTTATTGCTGCGGTTCTGTTCCTGTTTCTCTTCCTGTTCCTTCCCAATACATACAAACATACACGCACATATGGTGGCACGCACATCATATCCGACTCGGGCTATAAGTTACCATTATGATTATTATGGTGCATTAGCTCCTTCCCTGCCGGGCCCCATAAATCAAAGGAAATCATTTTCTTTGCGCCACCAGCAGGTGGCACCACCCATTCATCATCTACAGTCGCTTGCAGTTTGTTTTGGGCTCTTGGTATGGGTTTCGAAAGGGATACTCACAGTGCACCTGTAGCTTCATCCGTTTGCTCACCGATGGCGGCACTCCGTTCGAGGCGATGCACATGTAGGCGCCCATTTCCGATCGCGTGACTTTGGAGAGCGTCAGCATTTCGCCTTCGACGGACGGGGCTGAATGGATTGATATGCGGTTAGTTAGTCACTTTATTCTAGTCTCCCCGTGGAGTTCATTGGATGGACGGATGGCTCACCCTTGGTCTTCTGGTGCCCGGCGTGCCGTGCTATAATCTCGCGTCCGTCCTCACGGCGCCAGGTGATCCGCGGCTTTGGATGCCCGCGGGCCCGGCACACGAGCTTGGCCGCACCGCCCTCGGGTACCATCAGGTCGCCAGAGGTTTCCTCGTTGATAATGTCCGGTGGTATGACCACCTCCAGGGTGGCTGTCTGTAAGTGAACAGAGAAGGGCGTCGAAGGAATTAGTATGAGATTAATTTCCATTCCATTTACTTCGATAGTCTCTACTACCAAAATGCCATTATAAGCAAGGAATTCCCAGTACGAAATACCACTCCTGAACAGCACTAAACAATGGGCCAGAATATTGTTCTATTGGTTCAATTGTTTGCATAATGCCACCAGCAGCCACTCCCTAATCACTTACTCTATGGGCATTTCACCTTCAATTATCGACATCGAATAAAGAGCTTAACTATTTTGTTTGTAAGTAAACTGCACTCCGAAAGTAATCCTGTTAGTACCTTGAGCCAGCTCAATGTACAGTTGGCGCAAAACAATATCTGTGCATTCCGAACCCTTATTCTAAGCTTTCACCATTCAAACAGGTGAAGGTGTACATATCTATACAAATTTATTGTAAATTAAACATTGAGCAAAAAATTATGTTTGTTTGCCTTGCCTTACTTTTCACGCAAGCATCAATGATTTCGCTTAAATCTAAAGCTTATGCTGCTTTATTTTAAATTGCTATTAGCAATAAATGACGGAGTCCATCTTGGGCTACAGTGTTTTTTAAATAGTATTGTATTATTCTTAATTTGTTTAAATATCTTTTAGCTTTAAATCCCCCTATCCAGATCAAAATATTTATGAGTTTAAAAAATCAGAATCGAAAAAAGTAAAGTTTTATATGATTTTAAAAGCATAGAACCATGGGGGAACATCCTGGAACAGGATAAATTTTTATTACCAATATTTTTTAAAATAAATTTCTTTCCTAACCTTGCATTTTAAATTTGTATGATAAATAAAATATCAGAAAACAAGAGTTACTTTTTTAATTATGCAAATCAGGATTTAATTTTTGTTTTCTTTTTTTATTATAAAAAACATTATCTGTTAATTATGAACTACGATTAAGATATTATAATAATATAGAATTAGCCAGAAAAAGGAGTTTTATAAATTTGATAAATTTAGCTCTTTTTTAATAGTTTTAGGGGTATATCGGGGGATATGTTATGGCAAGGGGAATTACAATTCTAGCAGAGAACCCGGAAAGGTTCATGCTGGGCGTATTTTAATCTACGTACTCGTAAGTGTGGGCCGAGTGTGGCTATCCGATTACGGGTAGGTCTGAATGGAACCGCAAGGTAAATCTGACCCAAAAGAGTTTGTGAGGCCACAACTAATAATATGTATTGGAATACAAAATATTTTAATATGTATGTTAGAGAGACTTTGGGGAAAAACATTGATCAAAAATCATCCTTCTTATAGAAGATATGAATTAGTGAAGATAATGATTAAAAAAAATACCAAAACAAAATAACGAAGAATTCTGCTGATTTGAATATGTTTTAACATCAAAGTAAATTAAAAAATACATAAGCCAATGGGTTAAAATACTTTCAATAAAATAGTAACAGGGCAAAGGCTAATGCAAATTTTTTTTTGTTTTTGACTTTCAAATTATTTTTGCATGGTATTTATGTATTATACGATCTTGCATAAACTTAATGAAGGTTTACTTAAGGTTTGCTAATCAGAGTCCGCGGCTCCTGATATTGGTGGCCCCTGAGCTTGGTGCCCCTAGGCAGCTACGCCACTCAATAACTAAATCACTTGCCCCATTTTAACGTGCATAGCTAACTCTGTTTAAGGTACAGTCTGTTCAACGATTTATACTAAACACTAATCGATAAATTCGTTCTTGCTGTTGAATACGTTTCCGTTAATCGGTTGTGGTCAGTGTTGGTCAACGATTTAGCGGAACGAGTAGACAAATTGTCTCATTATGCGGCTATTCTATAGTTATTTTTCCGTTCTTCTATGGCTCTCTTTTCCTCATTCGTGGCAGCGTGGTGGCTGTTTTTTACATTTGTTTCATTCTGCGGTTGTTGACTCCCACCAGCAATAACCGAATTGCTGCTATCATTGTCGTTGTCATTGTCATTGTCATTGTTCCCGCTGCAGTTGACAGTTGTGTCATAAAATAAAGTTGACGGCAGAGAGAAAAAAGAACGAAAAAGTAAAAAAAAAATGAGGGGAAAAAAAGGAAAGCTCCAAACGAACCAAGCGCGAAATTTATACTAAAGATGGAAAGAGAGAGTGGGAGAGAGATAGACAAAGAGAGAGAGAGTGAGCGAAATGAGGGGGTGGAGCAAAAGGGTAAGGAAATGGAAAAGGCTTGAAAGGCAGGACAGCAAGCAGGCGAAAAGAACCAGAGGGAGATGTGAAGCCTGTTTGCTTTTTATTTGTCTCATATTTGCTTTTCACTCAATTCGCTTTGTTAGGTTGATTTTATTACAAGCCCATGGGTGGAACCGGAAGGGAATGTGAAGGGTGGGGGGTTCGGTTCGTCCCACCTCCATCCCCCACAATTCAGTTGCACATCCGCCCCATCATCACTCGTACAGCATAAACGAAATGAAATTGAAAACGCAATCGTTTTGCACATGTCGAGCGAGAGCGTTTAATGACAAAAATAAATAACAACCGCACTGGTGATGCACCGTTGACGTCATCAAACCCGGCTCCGGTGTGTGTACATTTGCACGGGTGTTGGGGAGAAAGAGTTTAAGTGTGGGCGGCTCATGTGACGCTTTTCCTCTCACTACTCTACTCTACTGGAGTCGAGCAGAGTAGAGTTGCGATTTTTTATACGAATATACCGGGCCCCTGTTTGCCTACCTATACAACCACCCACCCACCCTAGAGTAATACATTTTACTCTGGCCCGTTGCCATTCCGTTCCTCCGGCCACATTTACGTTAACCGTTTCCACCTTCCCCATCATGCCCATTAAAGCGCTTCATTGTTTATATATCGTTTTTATATTTCAGTGCCACCTACTCCTTCACTGTAAGAGACTGTAAGAGAGAGAGAGAGGAGGAAGAAAAAAGAATGAGATAGACATCTCCACATATTTATGTGAATATGTGAAATGAGGATGGTGCAACTTAAAGCTGAGGCAATAGGAGAGTGGGGGAGATCCCAGAATAATTTCATTATACTCTCGGCATGATTCCTTTTCATTTTCAGTTTTGCGTTTTTTTTATAGCTTTGATTTTCTCGCTCCGAGAACTCTTGAAGAAGAATAAAAAATGGAGAGTAGAGAAAGAAATGGAAAACTAGAAAAGGGATCTAATGAAAATGGCAAGAATTTAAGGATGGTGTTTTATATTAATAAAGATAACACAGTCAGAGGAAACTCACCAGCAATTCCAATTTCAGTCAACACAAAAAAAAGAGCAAACAACAATTATACACTGATAGAAAAAGGCATAGTAAATATAACTACAATCATATTTGAGTTAATGCTTAAACAATTTAAAATTAATAGAATTAAATTTGATTCAAATATAAATGTATTAAATATTTTATCTATCTAAATACAAAACACTTCAAAATAACTATAATATAGTAAATTTGTAGTTTAATATGTTTCATATTTAAATTGGATATTATTGTGAATTGGTTCAAAATTTTTCTAACTCCAAAGAAAAAATCAGCAACATGAGTAGAACTGCATTTTTTGTTAATTATGTTTTTTTTTTTCCCCAATCCAACGGCGCCCTGCTGCCAAGATAATTTAACTTTCAAGGCGGCAGCAGTTCTTGAACCAGTTGGGATTTTGAGGGACATCAAAAAAATTATAAACATAGTTAAAATAAATACAAAAAAATATTTAATTTCATTTAATATATGGAATATTTAAAATAACAAGTTTTTCCTTTTGATTTTAAAACAAAAATTTTAAAATTAAGTCATAATAATATTCAATTTAAATATGAAACATACTAAACTAAAAATTGAATGTATTATAGCTATTTTTAAGTGTTTTGTATTTAGATTAAATATGACCATATTAAAAAAGCATTTTTAATACATTTATATTTGAATCAAAATGAATTCTATTTAGTTTTGCTATGTTTGTATTTAAAAATCGCATTTTAAATTCAAACATGATTGTAGCTATTTTTACTATGCCTTTTTTCTATCAGTGTACATTTCAAAATAACCCATCTGGGTAAATGCAGCCTATTCATATATTCTATCTATACATTTCAGGACTTGAGAATTTACCTAGTCATGTTGGTCCTTGTTTACCTTGTTTAATAAAGTTTACCACTCTCGCAGATCACTCGGTTTGCGGGAAAAATAATAACTAAGCTATTTCTTATTGCTTTAATGATATTTATTATTATAACAGTCGTAATCTGTTTAAGACTGCCGTTCTTAACTAGCTTTACATACTTTGGAGCTTGATTCAGAAATAAGCTCAACGATTAAGCTTGCATATACATAATGCAAGCTTATTTACATATGTGTGCCCGTATTTGCATATTACTACCTTATCCAATTTTTTGTTTGGTAATTTTTGCCCTTGCAACTCCTCTCAGAGACCCGCACAATGTATGTAGTCTGCACTCACCTGCATCTTCATGGGATCTGTGTTGACCTGACACATGTATTTGCCGGAATCTTCCATTTTGACGCTGCGTATGTTGAGAGTCCATGTGTTGTAGTCGTTGTGCTGCACCGTTAATCGATCATTGTTGGTTATCACGTGCTCGTGTATGGCCAGAATTGCCTTGGCATCGGCCTTAATCCAGGCAACCTGATGGCGCCACACACATCAACACAGTTCCCAATGTGCCAAATGGAATGATGATGCGAACGCCGACAGAGTCAGATTCAGATTCAGAGTCAGTCAGGAAATAGGAATGGGGGATAAAGGGATGACCATTGTTGGTATCGTTGTCGTCGTTGTCGTCGTTGTCGTCGTTGAGTTGAGTTGAGTTGATGACACAGGCGTTTTGTGTGTGGCGTGGCGTTGATGAAGACAACGTTGGTCGGTCGTTGTTGCATGTAAACGTGTTGTTTGTGTTGGTGTTTTGTGTGGGCCAGCGTTTTGCACGCCAGATGTTTTGAAATTGCAGTTTGATAGCCCCCACAGAACCAATCCCAGTCCCAATCCCATCGCATGTGGAAAAAGTTCGAGGTTGATGTTGATGGGACAAACGTCGTCATATTTAGTTAATGTCCCCCCATTGTCATTGTCATTGTCGTCATCATCATTATAAGCAGTATCAATATCATTGCAGAAATGTATTGGTTCGTTAGATAGCGTTTCGTTTCGTTTCGTTTAGGTTCCGTTTCCGTTTCATGAGGATTCCGTTCGATCCGAAGCGGGCACCAACCGCACAAACCAGATCACAGACCATTCAAATCGATTTGCGGATGTATTAGAATTTAGTTGGTGCCACCGCCAGCCATCGCAACCGACAGTGAAAAAGGGGCGTCGGTCAGGGTGTAGTGGAGAGTGTGGAGAGTGGAGTGTTGATGGTCGAGGAGGTGTGTGGGTGGGTGTGGGTGGGGCAGAAAGTTAGGCATTGGTGTCAGTGTCGTTGACAATGGATTCAAAGGCGTAGGCGATAGTGTTGATAGTCAGTTTGGGGTTCGTTGTTGGTTGTTGTTGTTGGATTTTGTTGTTGTCATCGTCAGATGTCAGCGCAATTTGACGCCATTTCCATTTTGTTGCAACAGAAGCAGCAGTGACATCAGACGTTGTTGTTGTTGTTGTTGTTGTTGTTGCCGCAAAGTTTTTGCAAGTTTTTTTTTTTTGTTGTTTTTTGTTTGTTTCGAGGGATTTTAGTCGGTTTTTGGGTTTGAGTGCAGATTGTTAGAGTCAGATTGGTTGTTGTTGGTGTTGTTGTTGGTATTTGGGGATTTGAAAAGGGATATTTCAAGTGCAATTAGTGGAATTGGGTTTGCGGTTTTGGCGTCCATCGTTGTTGGCCATTTGGTGAATGGTTTTTGTGTGGTATCGCGGGTATCAGTGTGTTTGTGTGTTTGTGTGGAGAGAAGAAACATTCGACAATTAGTTAACATTTTTAGCTTATGCTCTGCTTTCGCTGGCATTCATTTCCCATCTTCTATTTTGGGATTTTCTTTATTTATTTTTTTTTTTTGTTTTTCAGGGAGGGTACAACCAAAGGAATCCACAAAGAATAAAACAAACGTGACACACAATGGAGAGGTCGCTCAGATGTTGCAAGCCGCTTCTGTGAATGAATTAATGTGGGTGTGACGCTTACCAAAACCTGCCGCCACTAGCTGGATTCATAATAATTCATTTGGAGCCTAATGCAAATAAGAAAAAATAACAAAAGTATCGACAAACCCTTCAGCAGATCGTTTACCGTAAGGGAAAATAAAAATATGAAAAAATATGCACTTTCATTAAATCTGCTTTCTGCTTGAAATATTAATCAAATAAATATACGACTATTCCCAATTTATTCTCAATTTGGGGTCTTCAATTGCTTTTTTTATTGTTACTTTACTTTACTTTAGAGACTTACTTCGGAGATCACTTTTTACTTCTTCAAAGTAACCTGAACAAAGTAAAGCCCACAGCAAGGAGCTTTGTAATATTTTTCCTAATTAATCCAGCGGCTATTTGGTAGATGAAAAAGCAAGTGTCGCACCCACGCAGTGCGGATGCACCCCATCCATCCGTCCGGAGAGAGACTTGTGCGGTGCGTGCGTGCAACAACTGTGCGAACACACACACAGAGAGATAGAAAACGAACGGAACGAACGAAACGAAACGGAATTAAATGAAAAAGTCATGAATAATGGGTGCAGTTGGCGGTGCGTTCTGAAGCGGCTAATCAGTTGGCATTAACATGGCATGCACAATTAGAAAAGAAGAACAGTAACTAGGGAAGAGATGGACTGGGATGGCATGGGATGGGAGGGGATGGAAGGAGGAAAAGATATACATTGCCAGGTCGTGGTGGAGCAAAAAGCATGACAACCAAAAGCATCTCTCTGACACACCAGCTTATCCCCAGAGACGCAGTTCCATCCAACTCTTTTGCTCTTGCCCTGTGCCTGTGCCTGCCTGCATGTACAGTGGCTTCATCGCATAGTCGGACACTTGTTTACCCAGTACAAAATTGTTGTTCTTTAACTTTTACTATAACTACAGAGTATTGGAAAGATATGGAAGAAAAACTGTTCGGAAAAGCGCCACATTGGTTGGAAAAGGAAAATCTACGGGGCACTATATAAATATAAGGTTCCGTAATGAGTTTAGTCTGCTCAAAAAAATTAGGGAAGGCCACGGCTAGATTTTAATTGAGCCAAAAGAGCATTTGATTTGGCAAAAATTAGTCAAGATACCTTTCAAAACCTTAAAAAAAAAGAAAAGTTACCTCAAAAAACACGATTCGGCAATACATTGCATAAGTAACATTTCTATACAGGAGATTTACTCGAAAAAAGCTTTTGAAAGACCATGACAATAAAATAATTGCGATGGGAATATATTCTGAGACAAATAAAGTTGTCGAATAAGGTATTTTGATGGTATATCATCGTAAAATCCATTCTTATTGATTAATATTAATTCAATAAAATCTTGAATGTGTAAAAAAAAAGTATCAGTAACAATTATTAAAAACTATTTGTTTTTTTTTTTTCGATTAAAATTAACTGTTTTTACTGAAAAATATGAGTTTTTGTTTAGGATTTAGATGGATAATAATATGTAGTTATAATGAAAGTTAAAGAACAACAATTTTATCGCGTTTCTGTATACTTTTTGAGCACACTTGTACTGGGTAAACAAGTGTCCGATTATGCGATGGAGCCACTGTACATACATACATATATACTATATATGTATGTAGTTTTAATTAACATTATGATGTGCAGACTAAGCTCAGTCTCCGAGTTTTAGTTAATAGGCTTAAGCAGCTTTTCTACGGTCCAAAATGGGTTTCGCAATCTGCTGCTGTCAGCGAGCGGTGGAGGAGAGATGGAAACGGGAAAGTGCCACAAAGCGGAGGGGCTGTAATCGCGTGGAAGAGGAGGGCTCAAGCACTGCACTTTATGCATATGTGAGCCACTTTGTAACTACATATACATGGACATATGTATGTATACCGTATATGTATGTATATTCGATGCAAGAAAAAATACTAGCTAGCTGTGGGATTGGTATCTTTTCGGACAGGATGAAATCGGCTTAGATTTGATTGACTTTTACAACAGTTGATGGATGGATAACTTTCCCATGAAAATGATGGAAAAAGTGAGAATATTTGACATTAGCTCTTGGCTGTGTTGCATCTCTGTCGACTATTTGCTGCGCTCGGATTGAGTACAGCCAGCACAATCCAATAAGTAGGAGTGCCAATACAGCTGTGCCCCCCCCCGCTATACCCACAGTTATCCACAGCAGCGCGCTGGTGCGTGTGTCAATACCAGTGAAGAGGAGGAACAGGAGCGGTTAGCAGCGGCTCTGCCCACGGACAGTAGTGTGTCCGTCTGTCTGTTTGATGTTGGTGGGGGGGATTCAGTTGGCTCTCTTTATTTATTTACTCAATAAAGCAAATTTATTGAGTAATGCATGAATGCGATGGGGCAACGCAGGGCTCAACAAGGGGCTGAAACGTTGGGGAGAGGGGCTAGGGGGGTGGATCAAACAAAGGCTCAAACGGATTGTGACGAAAATCGGAGCAAACAGAGAGCGGGGTCCAAACAAAAAACAGAGAAATGTAAAAGGGATTGTAAAAAATTTTCAAATGTAAATGCAAATAAAGCGAGCAAATGTCATAAAGTAAGTCTACAGTTACACACACAGAGTACTACTACATATAGAGAACAGGACTACGTAAAAGCACACACACACACATACACGTGGTTATACAGATATGCACACACGCAAACATACACACACACACACACACACACTTACATACATAGTTATACGAAAATGGTGCAAAGTTTGTTTCGGTTTGAACTCGGTGCGCTGAATTTATTTTTATTTTTATTTTTTAATTTTATTAATATTTTTTTCGGGTGTTTTTTAACCGAAAAAGGAAATACCAACGAAATGGACTAAAATAAGAATGCCATATAAAAGTGGCGAAGGGAACGCAAAATAACACAAAAGGAACGAATTAAACAGGAGAGTAACAGTAACCAGAGAGAGAAACAGAGAGGTATAGAGAGAGAAAAATAAAGACAGAGAACTTTTAATATTCTTTCTGATATATTTTTTCTATAAACCTGGCTCCATTACAGCTCATTAGGGACCAAAAGGACGTTGATTCGCTGCTCTAATATCTCATCAGAACTCAGCGAACAGAAGCCATTATCGAAGCACGAGCCACAGAACCCATTCGACGATTAATTGCGATTAAAATGTATTGTAAACAACAAGAGCTGATGTAGTGGCAGCAAAATTTTAAAATCATTCATATCTGTTGAATAATACATACACAATACTTAATGTGGGAAATTGAATGGAAACATTGTATGACTTTCTGTATACTACTCGTAATTGGATTGGCATTGGAATCTAGTTTGCTTCCTTATATTTACATCTTGAACTCAGATAAAAAAAACTCAAACTCATATCTTCAGATATGCACATACATATATGGGGCTGGTGACGCTTCTTTCTGTGCCGTACAAATGTCGAAATACCCTCTGCTAGGGTATATAACACTGCAACGATTATGCGACTGTTTGTTGTTGTCCTCTTTGTTTTTGTTGCTGTTGCTGCGGCTGTTCTCATTGTTCCCATTGTTGCTGGCAAAGTTGTTAAACAAATGGGTGAACAGCAGGCAGAACCAGAGGCAGAGCCGCAGCAGAAACAAAGGTCGCGAATGCTCCTGCATCCAAACATTCGCTGCGAAATAAATCTTTAATTATGCATATCTAGCGGAGAGAAGAGTGGATAGATACATATGTACGTATGTATGTACATATCCAACCATTTTGCGTTAAGTGCCGCTCCAATTCCAACCAATGGAAACTATCGTTGGCTGAATTTGTGTAGCTTAAAATTGGTGAAAAAAGAGATTTAGGTGCACCTAAATTTCTTTCTGTCATTTAGGGGTCTCTTAGGAGGTCTTCGATGTTAGTTGGTTCGCCTTTGTCCATTCCAATGGCGTTTGCTTTCTTATGTTCGCTACAATTTATATATATTTATTTATTGTTTAAATAAACTGACACCACCACGGTCACCCCAGCTGCTCTTCTCTTTCATTTCGCTGTGTCGCTGTGCCGCTGTCGCGCTGTTTTTGTTTGATTGAAACATCGAAGGATTTATACGAAATGGCGTTTTTATTTATGAGGCCATTTCGTTGATTAACACTCTTTGACGTGCAACGCAAACAAACGGAGAGCAAGAGACAGAAAAACAGCTCTGCCGAAAGCCCCAACAAAACGCATTCAACGAATGCAAAAAACGAACAAAAAGTAATTAAAGCGAGAGCCAGACGGTCCCAAAATGGGGAGCGGCACAAGGGTAACCTGTATTTTGGTTAAAAATTTCGGCTGACAGTATTTCGATCTGAACTACCTACTCAACAAAGTAGCGATACTTTTTTATACGTTATATTTTATTTTATTTAATGATTTATTTATCGAAAACTATATCTTTCCCAATTCCTGAGGTTTCCATTTTGAGTAGTAATCATTGTTTCACATAGCTTTAGTGTGGATTCCATTTTCATCAAAATCTTCCACCTCCGACGCAGTCCTTGTCTGTGCCGAAGAGGGGCCGCATGTACTGGAAGCAGTCCGTGTCCGGTGTGCCATAGCGCATAGATCTCGTTCTCCTTGTAAGGTCACAAGTACTGCAAGTAGTCATCATATTGGAGACATCTTCGTTGCGAAAATTTTGGACGGTAAAGTAGCTTGCGGCGCAGCTTGAGGAGTGGACCAGTCCCGTCTTTGTTTCAGTTTTCACCGCCAGCTTATGGTCTTTTCCCAGGGTTTCGCAGGCTCACAGATGGATGCGCTTTCGTTGGATTTATCCAATTAAAATTCTTCAAAATTCCTTAATTATTGTGTAGCTCGAAAATTCGCCCAGTTATCGGCCTTAGAATTTAGTTTATGGTGCGCCAGCTACAGCTGTAAAGTTCATTGCAACTTTCTACGTACCCTTTCAGATACGCATATTTTTAGGTGGAAGTATTACCTGTATTATCTATCAAATAGTATTTGTTTGCAGATTGTGATTTACAAGGTTTAACAACATAAAGCTTTAGAAATAAGTCATAGTCTTGGCCTGCTCTTAATGTGGAGTTTACGCTTCACTGAAGTTTGTGAAGATCCCACCCAGCGTTATTCTGTATTCTGTTATTTTCGCTTATTGGTAATTTAAATTTAAATCGCTGCAAACACTGACTTCATGCTATTTTTCAGCTGGTAGGTCAGTTTCAAGGCGAGTTTTATTTTCCGTATGATGTAAAGAAAACATAGGGAACATTTTGAAGAGCCGTCGTTATTTAAACTAAATGTAGATAGCAAAAATGCCAGGAAATACGAGATTAATGCTGTTCAAAAATAAAAAATATAAAAGGTTAAATTTTGTAACTTCAATGGGGTATTTCGGTCTGCACAGTGACAAATTTCAATGTAAATGTTTTTGTTTTTCGTATTTCTTGACTGAGACAATGCCAAAAATATTGTACTCAAAAATTCTTTCACATATTTTAAATCCTTCTGTAAGAACCGATTCAAGCTATATTAAATACTTGAGGAGATAAAAGATTTGTTCCTGCTGGATGGATCATATCCCGCACGGTGAGTCGTGCCTCTGCGTACTGACTTTGTCATGCTGCATGTACTGTTGTTACTCCTTCTAGGTAGCACGGGTCCTGGCTATGGAAGCCACGGTATAACGAAGTTTATACGTGTATAAATCTGGATTTATATGTATGTATATGTGGAAACTGTGAAGTAGCACTTCCTGGTCTGGGGCTCCAATTGATATGTACGATACTCTTTTTCAGTATTATGCGATCTGTGCTGTGGGAGGCTGCAGATCCTTGGACTCCATGGGCACCAGTTGCTTCCTTTTGAAAGTGGATTTTTTTGGAGTTTCAGAATTTAGTCCGCTTTGTAGGCATAGAAGAAATAAGCATCGCCCAATTGTTTTCCAAGGGATTTCCACAGCTAGACTATCGATTGCAGCTGCCAGCCGAAGCAAACATGAATAATAAATTTAAACTGCACTCGAAGCTCATGTTAAATGTTTAGAACGAATGGAAAAACAAAGGCAAACGGATTACGCGCTTTAAAGCGATTAAATTCTTGCTGATGAAATGACTTAATTTGTTTTCATTGTCTGTTTTCTGGCGCGCTATCATCCTACCCATCGAACCCCTGGGGCAGGGCAGGGCGGGGCAGAGCAGGGCGGTATATAATAGCTATTTTACATGCATTATTGTGTTTTATTTTTTAACGATTTTCGACAGTCGATTGTTTATTGTTGTTAACAACAATCGCTCACAGGTCTTTTTTTCCGATGCTCTTTTATCGCTTAAATTCCTTCCTTTGCACAGAGAGTGCCAGTGCCAGTGCCAGTGCCAGTGCCAGTGCCAGCCGCTCGTCGTGGCTGCCTCTCGGGGGGCGGTGAGTGTGTGCACTTTTTGGGCATGGGACACAGACCCGCTCTGTGAGTGTTATAAATGAAATGTGAGTGCTAATAATAATATAATACGATGATAAAAACAATAAGCTATTCGTTTTTCGGTTTCGTTTTCATCTCGTACAAATTGTGCGCTGTTTATTTAAATTTATTTCGGCCCCATTCCGCTCGGTTCGGCTCTGATCTGTTGGTAATGTGCTTTATTTGTGCTCCCAATAACCATTATTGTTTAATTCTTTTGTTGGAGCTGTTGTTGTAGTTGTAGCTTTAGTTGTAGTTGTAGTTGTTGCTGCTGTTGCTGCTGTTGCGGCTGTTGCTGTGCGTTGGTGCGTTAAATATGCAGAGTGCTCTATATTGTATGTACATATATAGATAGATAGGCAGTATGTATGAATATATATCTTAGATATTGTATTGTATGGTGCTATGGCAGCTATACTTGTAATTAACTATCTATATATGTATATTTATGTGTACGAATATGTATACTGGTAAAGGGGTAGGTGCGCTTTGGGGTTACATAATTGCGATAGTTGTTGTGCAGTTTGATTTCATTATTATATTCGTATTTGTAGTTTGGAAAATCGTTAAAACTGTTAAATCTCAAAAATTGTGCACTTGAAATGAGAGAAATGAAAGTGTACCAACTGAAGAGAGATAGATAGGAGACGGAGAGAGGGAGAGAGAGAGATACATACTGAGAGAACAAAAAAAATAAAAACGGAACTGAAAAGACAAGAAAAACTCATTCAACGCTGCGCCTGAAACCGATACATACCTTGGCGGGGACTGTCGCACCGTCACCACTCACCCGATGACCACCCAGATTGTTCACCACGCACGTGAATGTCGCGTCCCGGCCCTGGGCGATGGTCACGTTCTCCAGCGGGATGACAAAGTCCGGCTCGAAGGCGCCCACTGAGGAGATTTGGTTTGAAACGGTAAAATCTTCATTTCAATTGACATTTCCATGAAGAGAAAACATTTATTGAACAATTAACGCAATTTCAAACAAATTTACAAATTGCTGTATGTGTGTGTGTACGTATGGGTATGTGTGTGTGTGTGTGTAACTCATGTATGTGTGGTTATGTGGGTGTGTTGGAACGAGCGGCCTGCAAACGATTGGCAAATCAATAAGTTTAAGCTGAAATAATCGATCGATAGCGTTGGTTATCGCTAGAGGTGGCGTTTGAGTCGCTATCGATCTGGCAAAGAAAGGATGCTTATCGATATAGTCTTCTGTGTGTGTGTGTGTGCAAAGCAAACCAAAAACGTTCCACACTCAATGATCAACAATGTTATCGCTATTTGCCCAAACGCTTGGGCGCCCAAACTCGGTCTTATAGCCTGGTTCCACTAGCACGTCATCCCCTGTCGCTCCCAAGCGAAGTATTTTCACTCAATCTATAAATGGGAATTCCCATTGGTCAATCAGTTTGAATTCAAAAGCAGATTGGCTGCCCTGCCTCAGTGGAGTACAATTTAATGGTCAAATACATCTACGTGGAAGCTTCAGACAATGATATGGAAATTTTTATCAGCTCAGCTGGCATTAAGACCGATGAATTGAGTAATTGTACACCAATTTTGAAGAAAAAGAAAGATCTGGTTGGAGTTTTTTCAGCAAACAAACGAAATGACGTCTAGTGGAGCCGGGCCCGTTGCCTCCTTCCCCATATATGTATGTATCTTACCAACGCAATTGCACAGCATCAGCACCAAAAGCGATAGCCAATGGCCTCTCGGCCCTCCTCGAGCTCCGATTCCTCCTCCGAATCCTCCTGCTTTTCCTATCTGCAGCTGCGCCAGCTTGGTTTGATTCAGTTGCGAGGGATTGCTCGATGTGAATGTCTGAGTGGGACACCGTTCAACGTTCAGCTTGCAGCTTCGGGAATCGACGATGAGTTCGCTGATTTTCTTGACTACCAGAATCGCCATCATAAGACTGACGTAGTTCCTACTGGCATGACTTTATTCATAGACTATCTGGCTGAATATGCTGAAAACGCAAGCAAAATGTACAGACCACATCGTCCAATTAGCTTTGATAGGAATTATGAATTGCAAACTTACACATAAATATATAAAAGTTCACATGGCTCTAGCCATGGCTCGTCCCAAACAGCGGACTGTCAGTGCATCCACGCTGGTCGGGACCAATAACACTACCCGACACGATTTTTCCTCAAGGAACAAAACCAACTTTTTCTTAAAGATTTGGGGCTTAGAAATGGTTTGATGATATTTTTTTTTTTTTTCTATAGCACTTTTTTTTGAAGAATTTTTTAAATATGGTATTTTTTTTTAAAGCTTTTTTCAGAGGTAGCGCTTGTTTTTTTCACATAACTCTAGTATCTTACGTCTGGTTGTAAAGAACTTTGCTATTTTGAAAAGATAATTAAAACAGCTAGAAGTTAAGCCCAAACACTTTGGGATTACAGCTTACCGTCTGTGAAATATAAAGCATTGAAATGCAGAAATTATGATTTTTGTGCGGTATTTTTTACGAAATTTTGACTTTAAAAACTCAGGAAAAGTCGAAAAAAAATTATATCTTGTGTCCTCTATTTTTTTGTGTATAGGTGCGTTAATTTGGCGTCGTTTAAAATTCGTTAACCAAACCTAAAATATGGAAAAAATGAACAAAAAATACCTTTTGGAAGGTTGCGAGCCCTTCGGTTTGGGTCCTTGAGGAAAAAAAAGTTCGATTTTGTCGAGTAGTGTAATCAAACCGATAAACACAGAGCCAACGAGCCATGTCTCTAGCCATGGTTCTCCACAAATAGCGGTGTGTCAGCACCTCCGGAAAATAAAATAGTCTTAAGAAACGCACACAATTAATAAACTTCAGAATTCTCGATCAACAACTCTACCCATTCTTGTCCATACACCAATTTAAAACCCCCCACCTCTTGCGACATTTCGCAATCGACGGGGACAGCACCCGTTGACCTACATAAGAAATATCATTGTTACACTGTGGGCTTATCTCAACTTTCTTTTACCAGTAATTACTTTATGTTTTTATGGCATATTTATCAAAACACTCAATACTTTTTAATTTTATTTATTATCTTTCTTTTTTTCCGTTTATTTTCCAATAAAAATTTTTTTATTTTACATTTTATTTTTACCATTCCCAACTGGTGGCTTTTATCGCAACCACCGTATCTACCACACGTCCACCTTCTTTTTTATACTTTTTGATTTTAATATAAAACAGGAGGGTTTTCGGTAGCAATTAAGCAGGCAAATATTGCCCAATAATAAAAAGTCAACAAGTAACACTTACTGGTCACGAGACACCCCATGGGAGTCCGTGGTGTCTCCTTCACGATCGCCAGCTGCTTAAAAAGCAACCAACGCCCCAACCTTCAACCTGTCCTACCACTCCTTCGGTCATACAAGGCCAGTCCCGAACCTTAAGTTCCAGCAAATCTACAAATTACATGTAGAGGAAGCCTGGACAGGTTGATGCATATCCCAGTCTCAAATAAGCTATCTTACAATGAAATGAATGAACTATATGTGGAAAGCGTCACATCGAAACAGTCGATAGATTTTGTCGAACGTCAATAAATATTGCCGTCGTCAAGATAACAATTCTGCCAGCGATAGTCTGTGGCGTGAGCGACTCGCAACTACGGCTACACTTCAAAGTCGTTGCGAATTGTTTACAAATGAATTAATTTCAAGTGTCAAATTATTAGGAATTATTTAACTATGTTGCGGTTCTGATTCCGGTCAACGCTGAAGTTGGATGACGCACGAAATCCATAAAAGAAACGAGTAAGATAACGCTCAAGTTCTTTTACGCAGCTGCGGTGCAGCGTTTGTGCCCAAAATGTTATCATCAACTGCACAAAATAATTGTAAATAAATTGACAATTACAATTTGTTCAAAACTAATTTCGTATTTGCGCTTGCCATCCAATTAGAAATCAAAATCAGCTGTACAAATACACAAAAAGTGGCAGCACTTCAGGGCTGAAGTGCATATAGAATTAAAGCGTTCTTGCTAGTCAAGCAAGCAATCGTTCTCGATTATATTTAGATTTTGTTATCCGTTGTAGGCACTCAACTAGGACCTAAAATATGGACGCAAAAAGAGCCTTTTCACTCGTTGACTTGGCCGTACCTTGCGTAGTTACATACCTTTTGTGCAGGGTTGCATTTGACACTAAATGGTTGCAAGAAGGTTGGCATTTGTGCATTTACCAACACTGTCTAACATTACGTGCAATAAGGAAAATTGCAGCTGCAATTCCCAATAAAAACTTTATTTTTAAGGTTTGTTCTGAGTGTTGTGTGCTTTTCACCATGCCAAATATCTTCCGCAGCCTTTTCTCGGATCGCTACAACGGGAAGCACGACCGCTTCTACGAGCGCTATGAAGGTGAGGCCTTGTCTGTCTGCGCCATATTATGTGTGCCTAAGCCCAAACTTTTCCTAGCCATTTGCCGCACCGTACCCAACATGGCCCCAATGCCGAGGCCAGAGCCCATCAGAAGCATCAAGGCGTTCAGAACACGTGTATCCAATCGCAAATCTAATACTAGCTTCCACTACGGCAGTGGAAGCCCGAACACCGACTGGCTCCAGAGCGACGATATACCCATTGTAACGCGGCGCGAGTTGGAGGAGAAAACGGGCCAGCTGATGGCCCTTCAGCCGATTGATGGGGGCACCGAGTTCAGCCACACCATCTGGAAAATGGAGAGGCCGGGCCAGAGGCGACGCGTGAAAAAGAGCAAGGACGGCGTCAAAATAGGCTACATCCAAGTGCTGACCAAGGGAGAAAAAGGCGACACAGGCAAAGAGAATGAGTCACATCAAGCCAATGTTCAAAGGCGCAGCGAAAAGACGAAAGCGCAGCTCCCCTGTAGCGACAAGGAGAACCGCACGGCCGAGGTTTCGTTTGTCTGCCCACAGCCAGAATGCCACATGCCATTCGCCAATCGGTAGGTGTTCGAATAACTTCCATTGCATAAATGGCCATCTAATATTGTCCGAAATGCCCCACCGCAGCGCCGGCCTGCGCTCACATCAACGCGACAACGGACACCACAACTGGCAGTATCAGTGCGTCGATTGCAGCATGTACTTCAGACAAGTCAACTACTTGAATCGTCACAGGACCGTCTGTCGCCAGCCACGCCCAGCCAACGCCCAAACTAATATTCGCCAATAGACTCAAGAAGGGAGTGCAAAATGGTATTTGTCAAAGGCTTACACAAATGTTTAGCTTATTTCCGTTGTAATCGTTACACGCGTAATTTAACCATCGCATAGCTCATACTAGGTTTTTTTTTTAATTTTAAATCGAAATATTTTTCACCCAATTAAACCTGAACCTGAACCTAAACCTAATTTTACATAATAATACCAATCAATGGCCTCCCTGTGATTTACTTATTACACGCGTTCTCCATCGCTCGATCGTTTCCTGCCTGTTTGAAAGCTGTTATAAGTGTCGAAATAAATAATCCGAACACATATTGTCGTGTTTGCGCAGCGCTCGGCATCGGCTGTGCGCTCATATCTGGCTCTGGTGTCTTGTAGATCCATAATCTATTGACAAAGCGTGGTAAGCTCAGTGTCGATTGGAGAAGAGAACTAAAGGAAAGCAGAAGGCACCAGACACCAGGCAGCAGGCACCAGGCAGACAGCGACTTGCCGCACCTTTGTTTGGCGAGGACAACATTTATTTTGCGCAGACGAGTAGCGGATGGAGAAGGAGCAGCTAACAGTTAGAAACAGGAAGTCAACGAGGAGCAGCATTTTGTTGCTGGCTCATCTAGGACCTGCTGCAGGACAGGACAGGACAGAACTGAACAGAAGAGAACATGGCTGGAGAGGACAGAGGACAGGGACAGTCGTCCTGCACGTGCCGCTATTTACATTTGCACGTAATAAATTCACAAGGACCACGAGGACGAGCAGCAGAAAGAGAACGAGAACTTGCAACAGGAAATGTGCCCGGAAGTGCATATGCCGGCTGTCGTTTGCCTCCCTGCGCCCCATCTCACCCCACCTGCAACGTGGGGACCAACGTGTTGCATTCAAATGGGCAGCGTTCTGCTCCACCACTGGGCTCCGCTCTGCTCTGCTCCGCTCCCCCATGCCATTGCCATTGCCACATATTTGCATTGACGAAATTTAATGAGCTCACAAAAGCAGTGGGCAAACATTTGCAAAGCTTCTGGCTTGGTTCGGCTCGGCCCGGCCCGGCTCGCCTCGGTCCGGATCGAACAGCCAGCACATTAGTGAAGGCCGAAATGGGGACAGGACGATGGGGGACGTGTGCAAGGCGCTTTATTAGATACGTGTCCTATCTGTCGCCCAAGACCGTGGTGGCCTTCCACCATCCTCACTTCGCCATCCGCCTCAGCCCATAATCACATCCTGTCGCCGATACGGGTTTTGGTGGCCCTTTGTGGCAGCTTAAACACATCCCTCTCCCACCCCTGTGTCCATTGTCTCCTAGATCTAGAGTAAGATCTGTCCAATGGCCCAATAAGAGCCACACACTCGATTTTACTCTGGGGCGAAAGGGTTCCTCTACACTGAGAACTGAGTGGAGCAAATGGTGGAAAACTGGAAGAAGAAATCTCTTTAACTATTGTATTTTGACGTCTCATAATTCAGATCGGATGTTACCGAAGCTCTCCTCTAATTTCTGATCTTGTGTGACTCTGCTTTCTCTCCCAGCTGAACTCTCATTTAACCTGCATGCAAATGCCATTAGAGTGGAATTTATTTCCACATCCCCCATACCCCCCAAACAGTCGAATTTTGTCCATGGAGTGTGTATCGGACGTGCAGCCGTGCAGCCGTGCACTGGAGGCACCCGCGTGGTCAGTGCATTTCCACTTCGTTGCAGTCTGTTGCCTGGAAAATTGTATTAGCTGCCTAACGATAATAATATTCTATTGATTTTGGTGCAAACACACACATGAAGGGAATGTGGTTACAAATTACTTTGTTGTCGAACAAAATGATGGCTGCAGGTGCACCTGAAATTTGTGCTGAGGTGAGGCTCAGGCACTTCAGCCTGGCAACTTCAGTGCCCTCTTTTGGAGCGGCCTTTTAATTGACAGTAACTATGGCTTAAACCCACTGGCTGCCTCGGAATAATAATTTGCTGAGCTGTTGCTCTGGCCTGAGTAAAGATACAGAGGGGGCCGAGCCTCCCCCCCGGTGGTTTAATTTCATTTATGATCGTACAAGGCGGAGCTGCATTCCCTGTCATTAAATTGTTTTGCTTGCTGATCAAGTGAGCTTCTTGCCTCTCCCTTTTCCACCCCAACCTGCCGCAGTTCACTTGAGTTAATACTTTCCATTTTTTGTCCAGGCTTCATTCTGTTTTGCCATGGAAATATACGAGTATTCCAATGGCTTGGCTTCGTTTTGGTTGTCGGTTCCCGTTTATTGTTTATCTTGTGTTGTTTTTTACCTCTAGTTAGAGAGGGTAAAAGTGGGGAGGTTCGACCCCATAAGAATTTAATAGCCGCGAAGCGCGGTCCGCCGTCGCCGGCTCTGCCGAGAAGGGCACCAAATTAAACCCAAAAAAAAAAAAAAAAAAAAAAAAAGAAGAAAAGAGAAAAACCCCCCCCCCCCCCCCCCCCCCCAAAAAAAGGAAAAAAAGGGGGAGAAAAAAAAAAAAAAAAAAAAAAAAAAAAAAAAAAAGAAAGGAAAGGAAACCCCCAAAAAAAAAAATTTGGCGAATTGGAAAAAGATCGGATCAAAATTATAGCCAGAATGAAGAAATTAATTTAGTGTCCCCCCCCCCCACAACGCACAAAGAGGGGCCGGGGGGGGTGACGGTGGTAAAGAAAAAAGTAATATTTTTAAGGAGCCGCACCCCCCGTTTCTACTTTCTGTCTGTGCTGTGAGGAAACTTTAAGTAAATCAGTTTTGTTTGTGGCCAAAGTGAAATGTCCAAGTATACACTCACACACACACACACATGTGCTTGGGTGTGGGTGTGTGTGTTTATTGTTTGCTGACATTTAAAATTACACTCTTGGGAATGCACGAAGAGAATAAGGAGAAGTTTGGCTTCAAAGTAAGCAAAATTAAGCAAACACATGCTGGGTACGACGAATGGTAGAACGAAAATGAAGGGAGTTACATATGTACATACATATGTACATACATATGTACATAAATGTACATAAGGGTCAGAGGTATAGAGGGAGAGGGGTGTCTATGCTATGGCTCTTGGGGGGATCTGCTGTGTGGGGCAAATGACATCTAACCATCGAATGGAACGTGCTCATTTCCCACTCCAGTCCACAGCAAAGTCATCTTCCTTTCGGCCACCATCCTGCCACGCCTCCCCGTGCCACAACCGTCCTGTGTACGATTCTGGTCAATGTGGTCGTGTCATGGTCAGCAAAAGTTACTTCTCGCGGCGCTTGTGGGTGGATAGACGTGATAATGGAATGTGGTAAGGGGTAAAGCGTATGTGGTGTGTGGTGTGTGGTGTGGGGTAAAACTGGACAACTAGTATAACTGTATTTGCTTAACACCACACAGACTCACACACACACACACACGCTGAGAGACACAGAAAAAGAACCCAAACACAAGCCATACAATACATGTATGTATGTATGTATGTATGCATGTATGCATGTATGTATGTATACTCGTATATAAAAGACAAATAAGTTTAGTTCAGTTGAGTGGATTTCTTGTAACTTCTCTTTGTGGGTCGCAACCAGTTCCACACCCTGTAGCTCAATGGCAGAAAGTAGCACCAAACAGCCTCAACAGAAGAACATATGAATGTATGTATATATAGTACACATATGTATATAGTAACGAAATATCAGAATATATAAAGCAATCCAATGACAACACACTTCATGATCTGCAACTGGAACTCCGACTTCCATTCATTTTTTGCTGGCTGCCTTTTGTGGCATCTGATACCTCGCATAATAATCCACTGAAGCAATGCGCCTTGTAGCGACACAGCCCCCCATCGCCCACCCTGACACATACTGCTCGCTTTAGTGCTGATGCGACAGATTTCCGAGACACTAGACGGGGACATGTGGCAAAGTGTAAATGAGCAGTCATAGCCAGGGCTAGTTGCAGCCAGCGGCACAAATGTCACACCAGGATGGAGTCCTACTCCTCCTCCTCTGTCACACCACCCCCGCAGCCCCACAGCCCCACAGCCACGCAGCCACGCAGCACGAATCCCGGACACAGACACAGACACCTAGACCAGCCGTTTCCCTCGCAGGACATATCTCCTCTGTCCTCTGCAGATATTCATGAATATGCGTAACTGTCAACCGGCCAACCGGTCAACACACTCACAAATATAGCCCCACAGCCACGGGAAGGGGCACAAATTCCGAGCTCGTGTCATATTTTTATTTTCTGTACCCCGTCCCCAGTCCCCCCATATTTCTACTGCCCCCTCCAGCGCTTTCTTCTACTTGTTTCTTATTTTGCTTCTCTGCTTCTCCTTTCGTCAGTTGTTACTTGTGACGCACGCTTAGGCCACGCCCACAGCCTGCTCCCCGCCTTGTGTTGTCTAATTGAGCGCCATGGCTTTTCTGCTGCCGCCGGGCACTTGCCCTGGCTCTGGCCGTGTCCTGGCACTGGCACTGGCACTGGCACTACTGAGCCGCCTAGGCGAATGTGCAGCTGCGGTGGTGAAGGCTGAAGAGCGGGTAAGAGCTTCGTTGATATGCCAGGCCCATCTCCCATGGACCATGGCCCGGACAACTGTACCCACGGCTTGATCCTTAGTTATCCTTAGTTCCTTATGCTGTGTGCGCCGGCACTGAAGTGCAAGAAGTGGAAGACCAGATCGAAGTGCTTCCAGGGGATTTGTGCCCGTAGTTGTCAGGGATTCAGGCTGGATTGATTCGAGCGAGGAGGCGAGGACACCCCACTGCCATTCAGTTCCATTGCACTCAGATCTCGTTAAGCTCCTTTTTCTTTTTTTCTGTTTGCCTGCCGCAGTCGGTTTCTGGAAGGCCTTGGAGAGATCCACAGCTGGAATGCCCACACCACCCTCCGCACTCATCCGAGTTGTCAATTTCAATGAGCCGAAAACCCTCGAAACCCTGGCCGCTCCTTGCCTCGTTATCCCTAATCCGTAATAAGCTGTATCAATAGCTGGGGCAAGTCAATAAGCGAACTTAGCTCTGCCCTGCTCTGCTCAACTCGGTGCGGCGCTGTGTGGTGCGGTGCGGTTCGGGACAGGTCGGTTCGGTTCAATTCAGTTGAGTCAAAGCAATTGCCGTCAAGTGCCAAATAAAGGCATAACTCGGCAGTCAGGACACGACATCCGACCTACCAGGGCCAAAAGGAGTGGGTG